TGTAGTTGCGGTGGATGATGTTGTTGCCAATCTCGCATTTGACGACGAGGGCGTCTCTGTGGGGCAAAGGGCCGAAAGGGAGGTCCTTGTCGGTGAAGGTGATGGCCTCCACATGCCGTCGCTTCGGCTGAGGGGGGCGTGGGACACCTCACCAACGTGTAGGGACTGAGCCCATTTTTTCCGTTGGGTAGCCGAGTCCCCCCCTGTGTTCCCGCCGACGATGATGTGAATGTGATGTTTCTTCTGGCGGGGCTCTTCCTCGTCCTCATCTTCACTGAGGGCGCCTATCTCCCTCTTTTTCCCGGAGGATCCTTCCCCCCTTTTGCCAGGGTTAACCCAAGTGTTACTCTTGGGGGCACCCTTGACAAATTAGGAAAGTTCCCCCTGTCGGACGAGGCCGTCGATGTGCCTCTTCAGGGTGGTGCAATCATCCGTCTTGTGGGATGTCTGGCGGTGGTACTTGCAATATGTCCCTCCTTTGTGGACCGCAAATATCTCCTCCTCTGACCTGGGGTCCTTCACGATGAGGCCCTGCGCCTCAGCGTGGTCAAGGACGACGCTCACCGGGTGGGTGAGGGGGATGCGTTGTGCCTCCAACTTTGGACGCCATGAACGATCCTCTCTTCGTTGTCCGCCTGGCTCCTGGTGTACCTTCTTCTGCTGGTTCTGTCCCTTGTTGGCTGGCGCATGGTGGGGGTTGGACGAGGGGTCCTTCTTTTGTTGCTTCTCCCCACCCTTCTTCTGGCTCAAGAGCTCGTCGGCGTCAGCGTGCCTGTCTCCGCGTCGGAGCGCCGCGAGGTATGACCGCGGGGGCTCCGTGAACAGACTCCGGGCGAAGTGGCTCAGCCGAAGTGCTCCGCGGAGGAAGGCCAGGAGGGTGCGTTCATCGGCTCCTTCGCACTCGTCCGCCTCCCTCGTCCAGCGATCGAGGAAGGCTCGGAGCGTCTCCTCCGATTGTTGTTTGATGGTCAGGAGATGAGCGAAATGTTTTTTCGCACGCTTCCTCCCGGCAAAGTGGGTGAGGAAGCGCTGAGCCAGATCCTGCCATGAGTCAATGCTTGCCTCCGGAAGGTTGTTGAACCAATCATACGCTGGTCCCTCCAAGGTGGAGAGGAACCAGCGACACATGTATTCCTCCGAAGCGTTGGTCATCATCATATTGTTCTGATAACGGGTGAAGTGCTCCTGGGGATCGGTGCGGCCGTCATATGGCTTGATCGGATTCCCCTTATACTTCTCTGGGATGGGGGCGGAGAGCACCCTCGCAGAGAAGGGGGTCCTGGTCCGTATCTGGATGACGGGCTCATCGCACCGGTCGGCCAACTCCCTCTCCAGAGCACTGACTTTGTTCAGGAGTGCATCGTAATTGAGATGCTGGGACGTATGGGCCGCCGCGCGCCCCGCGGCTTCCCGAGCCTCCATGTCAGCAAGGCGCTTCTCGAGACGGGCAATGATCTCGTCCCTTGGGTCCGTGTTGGCCGCAGCGCCACCCAGCGGGGTCTGGATCCGGGCCGCGTGGGCCAGGTTGATCTGGTGACGCGCATCATCGTCATCCAGCTTTCCTTTGCCTTTGTCTGGTCGGGGCCGATCCGTTGTCCGGGAAACGGACCCGAAGCTTTCCTTTGGTGATCCCGGCTCGCGACCACCCAACCGATCTGCAACCCTTCCCGTAGGTACCCGACGGCTCGCGATGTCACCCAGCCTGTTGAAGGCCGAGATTTTACCGCGAGGCTGGGCCGGTGTATCCCGGGTAGGAGAGGCGGTATGGGAGTGGGTGTCCACAGCGACGACACCCTCATCGTTGCCGAAGAAGGTGACGCCGAGCGGGCGAGGTGGCGGTACCATCGCAACCTCTCCAGTCACAGGAGTGTTGTTTTCCCCGGTCTTTGCGACGAGAGCGCTGACGACGTTGGGGTCCTGGAGGATGCTGGCGACAATGGCTGATAGGGCGGCCGGGTTGATTTGGGGGACAGCAGGGGGAGAAGCCTGTTGGCCCGAAGCGCGATCAGCAGCGCGTCTGTCCTCAAGCCCGATGCGAGCGTCTGGAGCAGTCTTGTTGAGCTGGGTGCGAAGGTCGGCTGCTGCATGCTCGACCTCCTGGACATCCTCTTCATGGACGGTGGGGTCATTAGGGACGTTGTCAGCAACGTTTCCCTGCCCTTCCTGGTTTAGAGGGGCGTTCCTACCAGTGTTCTTTGACCTAGTTCTTGTCATAGCTAGCGGTAGTGTCTGGTAGCGACGAAGGGTACTCACTTGATTTGTTCTAGACTCTCAATGAAAGCACCAAATGATAGAGTATTAATTCTAGAGAGAAGTGAGAGCTAGAGAGAGAAATTGAGTAATTATATTTCTCAACCCCCTATAACTAGCCCCAATGGGTCTATTTATAGGTAAAAATGTGGATTTGGGCCCCTAGCCATGGGCTTAGGAGGCCCATTACAATAATCATGCCTTCTTTGGGCGAAATAGGACCACTAATGGGCTGTGTACAATACTTAGCAAATAAAGTAGAGAGATGCATTCTGCCAGGGCGAAGTCTGGCCGATGCGGTGCCTTTTGGCCGATGCGGCCCCCCGGGGGTCCAGGCGTGCTTCCTGGGCCGGTTCGGTTTCTGGCCGATGCAGACCCACTGGCTGAAAGGGGCCACGTGGGTGGTGTTCTGGTCATCGTTGACTTGAGTATGTGGGCCATGGGGTCCAGACCCATATACTCTATCAATATCATATATACACACACATATATAAGGCTTCACCACATATTAAACGTCCAAGTAGAATATAAAAATTACATATTACATTTCAACACAACCCATTTAGCGAGATTTGTTTATCCCAGCATAAAATTGAAGTCGCGGAAGAAAGAAATAAACCATAGGCTAGCCTCCGCCGCCCTGATGACAACCATGACATCCCATGGTGAAAATAACTTTTTACCTTACCTCGCTCAGCTCTCCCAAGCGACATTCATGACCGAAGCGGCTGTTGGCCGCAGCTATCTGACGTGAACCCATCTATGATCTATGACCAAAGCTTCAACTGCCTTCCCAAACTCCAGTGGTAACTGGTACCCTATGCCGTCCAGACAAATCCATCTGGAATGAACTTATCACTTATATATAGCCAAAGTTTAAGCAATCTCATACTAAAAATCAGATATAAAATGAACCAGAGTTTCTAAAACTCCATGGAACAACTACTTCATAAAGCTTATGCAAAAGTTAATGCATTTTTAACATAAACAATTTTTCCACCTGAACCATGTTCTAAATTAATGGCGGCACGTTCTCCAATTTTTAACCCTTTTCTTACAAGAGTTGACTTTACATATTGGTAAGCTCGTGTAACCTAAAATTCTAAATTCTAAATTTTGGCCTCATTAATAGGTTAAATCTCAATGAAAATGTAATAATAGCATGTCCAGATCTATGCACATAAAGTTCACTCCTTTGAGCAAAAGATTAAAAAAATAGGAAAAAGATAAAGACAAAATACTTTGGAGGAGAAGTTTAGCTTGAGAGGAGTCATTGAGAAACCCAAATATCAATCTGAAGGATATGAGATAACTACAGCGAAATGGTATCAGGAATATTTAGTGTTTGTGACTAAATAATAATTAAATATTCTTAGGTGCAGAGACAGATGTTTGTAAGCTTATAGGTGCATGCAGGGCTGAAATTGAACTTTGTAATTGGGTGAAGGTTTAACCTTTTTCAACCTATAACCTTAAATTGTATATATAGTTCTCCCAAATTAAACAAATCACGGATCCCTAAGCCATTCTATCTATGACTAAAATCAGTTATCCTACATGTGTCCTTTATATCTATGGCCAAAATCAGTAGGTGACATGTAAGTTTGCAAGTGTTTAGGGTGAGTAGGTGACTTGCTGGTAAGGTGTGAGTAAAAGATTACTGAGTAATCTAATAACTTAAAAGAAAAATCAATTTTATAATTGGGATCTTTGCAAAAACACAGTCATTGATCTGATGTTTTGAACTCCCAATCAATACACTTGTACAGTAGTTGAACTAAACAACTACTCGAATAACAACTAAAGAGAAATCCAAATGATAATTATATCATCAACAAATATTTATATTAAACATCATTAACAGTTAAGCTTTGTAATCATAATATTAGCAAATAGGAATAAATCTGACGTGCACTTGTCGTGAGGTGCACTCAAAATAAATACAATTCAACACTAATACGTAGTATAGTGAAGTAATGTTCGTATCCACAGGGAAAGGAATACTTTTCTTTTTAAAGAAATAAATAAGTAACAAAAGGGGGGTTTATGTTTGGTTGATGAACTTTAAATTATATTTAAACACGAAGATGAACGAGTTATGTGGTTTAATTAATGAGAAGAAGACTTGGCTTTGCTTTTATCCACTTAATGAAATGTTCGTCGATCCCGGTTATATCTTTAACTATCTTCCTCTCGAATACTCAATCGAGGAGTATATCCAATTCATCGAGGGTAGTTATTAATAACGAGACGCGTTCATTAATAAAACTTACTACCGAGTTAATATAGAACACGCGCAGTATATTTACTCGATAGTAGCAATAAAATCAAGATGAAAACGATTGAGATTGATAACCTCAACACAAGCGGTTTATTGGTTTAATCAATATAATTAATTTCCCTTGGCTTATTAACCATGAGACGCATGCATTAACAACCCAAGTTTACTACCGTGAAAGGACCGAGTTAATAACAAGCGTATTAATCGACCGATTCTAGTATTAATTAATATATGAAACAAAACTAGTTGATCCTTTAAGTATTGCTCAAAATATTAATATGTAATAGGAATAGGAATTAATTAATATTCAAGGAAGAAGATTAAAGAAAATAACTCACAACTTACAATTCATTAAGCTTCAAAGTAGCAAAACCAAGATGGAAGAGTTTAGCTCCTCATTTGGAGACTAAACATGAAGAAAATATAAAGAAATAACTTGTCTAAACTGAGCTTAGAAGTATATAGGAATTGGTGGTTTATTGTGGAGGAAATGGGGTGTATTTATAGGTTTTTTAGGCCTGCAGGGTCGTGTACCCGATCGGGCTTTCAGCTCACTCGATCGGGTATAAAAGGTGGCTTCTTCGAAGCTGGAAAATGGGTCATACCCGATCGGGTCTGTCGGTCACCCGATCGGGTATGGACACCCGAACGTGTTAAAATCTTCCCGCATGATGCCTTGTTCCCGGATTTGATTTGATTCGATTTTTCAGAAGGGTACCCGACCGGGTATAGGTCATACTTGACCGGGTACAGACCAAAAACGAGATCTTCACTTTTTTTCTTGTATTCTTGCACCTTCCTTGCACTTGTGATGTTCACCAATGGTCTCCAAAGTGTACTTGGACCTGTTTGAGCTCAGAATAAACCTAATCTAAACATATTACAAATATTTTACAAACTAAACTATTTACACCAAAAGTGTGTAATTTCCAAAGTAACAATCACTCGAAACTAATTAAAAACACCAATTTAAATATGGAAATTACATGAATGTCAAAATCTCATATATAACCATCTGCCTTTTCAAGCTCACTTGTATAGGCAAAGTTTAAACAATGTCACAGTAAAAATCGGATATAAAATGAATCCAGAGATTCTAAAACGGCATGGACCAGCTAGTTCATAAAAAGTTTAAATAAAACTTGGCAGGTATAAATAGAGGTTTGAGAGCAAAGTATTACCTCAATTGAGGTTAAGTAGAGGTCATGAAAAATTAATCAAAACTTTATTTTTAAAACAAAATCAAAAGCAAAAATAAAAACATTAGAGGCAGAGCATCCACTAAATCTCAATAGCTCCATACAAAATACATATTTCAAGAATTTTGAGATTCTATACAAAGGCAGAGTAAACTGAATTTGAATTAAGATTTCAAAAAAAAGACCGCACTTCAATTTGCAATAACAAACAACACACATGATTATTTATCAACTGCTAACTTTTTGACTAAAGTCGAAACAAAATAACAATCAAACAATATTAGTTGAAACTAACAAGTAACAAGAGTAATATTTCAATATAAAAGGCAAATATGAAAAATGCACAAAGTTTATTACTTAATACAGAAATATATATTTAAAATATCACAAAGAACATGTTTTTTAAGATGAAAAGCAGAGATAAAAGAATACTCCACCAGTAACCCCAAAAGAGAAGTTGCAGGAAAAGTCTATAGCACCAAACAAAAACACAAGATTTATCCATTTGTATCCCCTTCCTCTAATTCTCTTCAACCAAACATGGGCTTAGGAACAAAACCGAGGCAGACCAAATAGAGGAATGGTGAATTCCTAGACTGGCATTTCAATCTTAAACCATTCTTTTTTGTATACTAACTACTAAGAAGACAATGAATGAGAACATGCAGAGGGAAACCATGAATGGGTGAACAACCTACATAATGGGGAGACAGAGGGAAAGAAGCCTGGTGCAGATTGCAGAACTTTAATATAAACAGTGGACTCCCATTAACTCAAATTCATGTGAAAATTCAAAAAACATAATACGTATATAGATAGACTTAGAATCTTACAATACAACCAGGCTTCAGTCTTCACCTTTGAAATGTATTTCACAATTGCAAATTGATATCGTGTCAACTAAAAAAAACGAATACAGATTCTGTCAGCAATATTTTTGTGCATCAACGCATGAATACTTAGCTGAAGTTTGATTAAAAGTCAAAATTTAAAGGCTTAAGTTAGGTAAATTCACTTCAGGTGGATATAACTTAACATAAAAGGAGGCTTGGGTTGAAAAATAATCGGATAGTCAGTAAATACATCCGAAGAAACATAGACAGTAAACACGAGGTAAGGGGTAAAAAGGCGTACCACGAGAAGAGTGGAAGAGAACCTCTTCCTCATGGATAACATGGTTATGAAGGAATAGAGGGTTCAAATGAAGTTAGGTTAAAAAGGCGTACCAGGAGAAGAGTAGAAGAGTGCCTCTTCGGTTGTCATAAGTTGTACTTCACTGGAGATGGATAGAAATTCATTATTTAATGGTGGGGAGAAGATGACGAGAAGCACGCATTTGAGGAAAGCAGACGTCCGGCGGCTACCCGGCCTTTGAGCGTGACGAAGCGGGTGCTGAGCCTTAACCCAATTATCCAACCAACGGGATGTATTTGGTTGAATGAGGATAAGGAGAAATGTAGAGAGGTGGGTTGACGGACGTTTGTTGACGGAGAAATGAAGTAAAGATAGTACAATTCCTTTAGTGTTTAGTACATCCTAACAAAGCTATGAATGACACCAACACATTTTTTATACCTAAAATAACCTTACCAGCATTGGTGTTTATAATATTTTATTATATTATTATTATTTAGATTAGATTGTAATTGAGTACGTTAATTTCTGGCTGGCTAACTTTAATATGATAAATTAAGTTATTTGAGTGGATTAGTAGAGTACATGACATACCTATTATTTCTAGTCCTTTTGAATAAAAGAATAGATAATTCAAATCAGAATTCCGCAGTTCTTTTGTGATTAATGAATTTTAACTAATCAATTAATAAGTTCTTGTAAAGTATGTGACTTATTTTGGACGTCATATGGTATAATCATATTTTTGCCTAGAACAAACCCTCAATTTTAATTGACTAACTAAATCGGGGGTGTAGCTATCCTGGTAGGAACTAGGAAGTGATGCCACAAGGGAGAGATCTCGTGTTCAACTCCAAGCAAAGATTTAGAATGAACCTACTCTCTTTCTATTAGAATGAGATCAAAGTTCAACTTATATCCTCTCAGATAAACTGTCTGATCGGTTCTAGGGTCCTTGTAAACAGGGTGTCATTTTTCTTAATTGACTAACTAAATCGCAAATACTAAAAATTAATGACAGAGTCATAATCTTGGACTATCTTTTATCTTGCTAAATTTTCAATCATTTTTCTGTTAGTTGTTCAATCACTTTAATTTTAAATTTTAATCATTTAAGTTCCATGCATCCATTTTAATTCAAGCTTTAATTTTCAATTTCAAATCAAAACATTTTCAAAACTCTTCTTTAGTTAAATTAATTTCATTTTTATTCAACTGTTTTTCAATTACCTTGTTACATTTTCCCTTTGGATTCAACTTTTACTTGAGCACTATACTACCGTAACTCGTGCACCTGCGAGAACATCTAAATTTATCGATTTTTGTGTTGTAAACCAAGACGCAAAAGCATTTCAGTCATTAACATATAACAATGTATATATACAAAGGGATACGAGTTAGAGTTACACTCATGATATAAGCCAATACATATGAGTCTGAGATTAGTGGACATTCACATAATTACATAACACTCCATCTTGACCGTACATTACTAAAAAGAACGTTACAAGAAAAAATATACATTATTCTCTTTATACACTTTGGTAATGTTGCCTCGTTAAAAACCTTCCCAAAGAAACCTAGTGGGACAAAACCATGGTCAAGAGTAAAAAAAGTGCAGCGCGGACACTCTCATGTTGATTGTATCACTTTAAGATTTGATGTTGAATTAATTCAATCAAATCTAATTACTAACTTTTCGAATGAAATATTGTACTTGTGTATGCCTCATTAAAACCTTGTTGGAAAAATCTTTTGAGAAAAAATCAATCAAGAAAAAGAGTACATAATATATATAAAATGATGTACTTCGTATTATATTGACTGCTTCATTAAAACTCTTTTACTAAGAAAATCACATGGAAAAAATTTAGTAAATGAAGAGTATCATCATTAGCCTTCAAGGCCTAATCTACTGGATTACTTTTCAAATTGCAATTCATTCTTTTGGAGAATAGTAATGTTCCAAGTCTTACGTATCATCGTATATTATTTGAAAATCACAAGCTGTCATATTAAAACCTTTCACCAAGAAAATCTTACGGGACAAAATTTGTTTATACGAAAGTATTGTTACACTTGGTCTTTCAGACCAATTAATTATTTCATCTAACAAGGACCAAATTAAGACCTTCACGGCACTATCTTCATGATTAATACTAAAGTCACTTTTTTAGAGGATAGGAGTCTTCCAAATCTAATGTATCCTTCTCATTCTTTAAAACCACAACAATGCCTTGTTAAAACTTTTGGTTAAGAAAATCCTTTGGGACATAGCTTGGCTAAAGAAAAAGAATAATAATGGGAATTCAAAACCGATTAACCATTTTATAATTTTTTTTACTCCCTCTGTCCCTTTGGGCTTTGCCAACTTTCCCTTTTTGGTTGTCCCAAAAAACTTTTCCATTTTCTTATTAAAGCAGCTAATTTTTGGTTCTGCACATTTCTCTCTCCTCTGCACAAATTTCAATCACACAGTTTTTACTATTCTTATTTCTCACCTACTTTGCACTTGGCAAAGTCTACCGGGACGAAGGTAGTATATAATTAATACTAAAGTCACTTTTCTAAAGGATAGCACTTTTCCAAATCTAATGTATCGTTCTCATTCTTTGAAACCACAATAATACTGTTGAGGTTTATTCCTTCAACCCCCGAGTCCAACACGTAAGCCCAAGAGTTTCGAGTGGAGTGAGTATGAATAAACTAGCCCAACTAACAAGTGAGATGGATTAAGAAACAAAAGGAAGCAAGTGAATGATTAGGTATTATTAATCTGTTAATAACTCCCTAATACAATACTTTTCGCTAAAAGCTCGTCGGCCGTTCGTCTTACAAAGCAGTAGAAGTGTTGCGGGTAAGAAGGCTATAAGCTAGAGTGCTAAGAATAGAAAGTTGCTAACCCTTTACAATGAAATAAATGCTGCTATTTATACTACCAATGGGCAGTTGGCTATGCTGACGTGGAGGATTGTGGATGGCTGGTGTTCCAATCACCAAATCTTCAGCATTAAATGCGCTTCCCGCCAGAATCTAGATTCCCTGCCTAATTGGTGGGGACGTTCGTCCAGCTGGGGAGGTGAGTCGTTCCTGGTGATATTGTACAGGGTATTGGATCGTTCGTCCCCTGGCCCTTGGGGGATTTGCCATGTGGACTGGATTGCCTCCAGTGGTTATGGGCTTGCTCCGACGACGTTCGTCGTCATCCATGTGGCCTGTGGGCCTGTTTCCTGTCAACTGGGTAGATGTTCGTCGGCATGGCTGGTAAGCCCAGGCTTTGGTGACGACGTTCGTCCCTTCCAAGTTGCCTGTCAGCTTAGCCTACCCAGTTCTGTCCGGACGTACGTCCGAATAAAAGGGTAAATGGGCCGAACTTCTACTTGGGCCATTATCCCAACACAAGTCCCCCACTTCTGATGTTCTGAGCATGCACAGGACATAAAGAAGTATGATGCTCCTCAAGGGTGGACGCTCGTGGCATGGTACTTGTGTTTGTTGCGTTTGTGAAGGTGGACGCTCATGGTCATGGTGCCTACCTGCTGGCGGCGGTTCAGGGATCGAGGTGACGGCTGCTATAGAAACGGTGCACTTCCCCAGGAAAGGCCATCATTACACTTCCATCCCACGCGCAGCGCGTGAGCCTGGATACGCTCCTCGCTACGTGTCACCCCTTCGTTGGCCCCTGAATCGGTGCCTCCCTTATAAATACTGGGGTTTCCCTTAGAATTAGGGTTCCCGATTTCTGCTCTCTCGCTCTAGGATCTCTGCTGCTTGGTGCTCTGTTCATCCGCAAGGTTCATCGGCTCGTTCTCCTCCCTCCTCTAAGGTAACTTGGGTTCTCTTCCCCCTTCTCTATAATCCTTTTCTGATCTACCCAACGGCCTCCATGGAAATCTCCTCGGATTCCAGCTCTAGCTCTTCGGGCTCTTCCTCGGGTTCCTCCTCCAGTTCTGGTTCAGGTTCCGGCTCCGGCTCCTTCGTCCGCGAGACAGCTGCTCGGAGAGGTCATGCTGTTGATTGCTTCTTGCCATCGTGTTTGCTGTGGGTAGATTTAGTAGCTGTTTTGGGAGAGTTTTGGAAACTTTTAGTTCAGTTTCCCACAGACGGCGCCAGTGTTGAGGTTTATTTCTTCAACCCCCGGGTCCAACACGTAAGCCCAAGAGTTTCGAGTGGAGTGAGTATGAATAAACTAGCCCAACTAACAAGTGAGATAGATTAAGAAACAAAAGGAAACAAGTGAATGATTAGGTATTATTAATCTGTTAATAACTCCCAAATACAATACTTTTCGCTAAAAGCTCGTCGGCCGTTCGTCTTACAAAGCAGTATAAGCTAGAGTGCTAAGAATAGAAAGTTGCTAACCCTTTACAATGAAATAAATGCTGCTATTTATACTACCAATGGGCAGTTGGCTATGCTGACGTGGAGGATTGTGGATGGCTGGTGTTCCAACCACCAAATCTTCAGCATTAAATGCGCTTCCCGCCAGAATCTAGATTTCCCGCCTAATTGGTGGGGACGTTCGTCCAGCTGGGGAGGTGAGTCGCTCCTGGTGATATTGTACAGGGTATTGGATCGTTCGTCCCCTGGCCCTTGGGAGATTTGCCATGTGGATTGGATTGCCTCCAGTGGTTATGGGCTTGCTCCGACGACGTTCGTCGTCATCCATGTGGCCTGTGGGCCTGTTTCCTGTCAACTGGGTAGATGTTCGTCGGCATGGCTGGTAAGCCCAGGCTTTGGTGACGACGTTCGTCCCTTCCAAGTTGCCTGTCAGCTTAGCCTACCCAGTTCTGTCCAGACGTACGTCCGAATAAAAGGGTAAATGGGCCGAACTTCTACTTGGGCCATTATCCCAACAAATACCTTGTGAAAACTTTTGGCCAAGAAAACCCCTTTGAACAAAACCTGACTAAAGAAAAAGAATAACATTGAGTCTTCAGAACAGATTAATTGTTTCATGAAATTTGAGGTGATAAAAATTATTAATATATAAACTTCTAAAGTTATTTGAGCGGGTTTGATAGGGCGTTACCCATCCAACTCTTCAAGAGTTTATAAGCACGAGTAATTTTGTAAGCTCAAAAATACATGTATTCCCAGCCATCAATAATTGAATAGAGTCAATTATTGGTCCATAAAACTTAAATAAGGCATGTTCTTCATCCGCATCTTTAATCTCAAATTAGTATAAAGACACTTAAGGTGTTCACATTATAGTAACTTGTTATTTTATTTGTTATATAATCAAACATCATTTAAATCAAAACATTCAAATGTGTTGTTTCGAAGTTGGGTGCTTAAAAATATCCAACACCATTATACATTTCGTTTATAGAACACTATATGTATACTTCAAGTAAACAAATAGATGATTTCTAGACCCACATGACTAATTGCAAATTCATAGAATGATGTTTTCCTTATTCCACCCTTACTGCAGAAAGGTTGAAAAGTAGTATAAATACATCTCATTTGAAATTATTTTTATACTATCACAAAATTATGTGAAAACACATAAGCAAATTGTTCAAATTAGATCCTTTACAGGAGGCACTCACTACAAGTGAAATTTCCACATGATGCAAAACTCTTGTTTAACCATGACATTAAATAATATATTTCACATCATGATAATCAAGCATTATTTTTCTATAAAATAAGAACTATTGAAAAAACATATATTGGTAAGGCTGAGAAGTCGAAAAACATGCTCACTAAATGGATCCTCAATGGTTGTTTTATCATTTTAATATTGAATAGGAGAAATCGAAACTTTGGCGAGTTAGTTTCTAATGGTATGCAATATTTTGTTTGAAATATTATTATTTCTCTCTATTTTTGTCAATTTCTAAAAAGTTGTTTTTAAATAATTTACAAATTTTGGAGTTTTCAGTAGTGAATTTGTTAAGAGTATAGAAGTAATTTTGCAAGCTTCTTTAGCAAAAACCGTCAGATTGTGTTTCTTCAAGATAAACATTCTCCAAAAAAAGAAGAATTAGAGGATCAAATTTTCTGGTGATCTCAAACTAATTAAAAGTGAGCGAAGTTCTGAGCTCAAAATGAAGGTGGGAGGTGTTAGACTGTCACTCTTAGGTAGCGCTTATGAGAAATATTCATGATATGATTTCATATTTTCATTGTCCCATGTTACCGAACATTAATGAAACTGGAGAACCATATGATGCCGGAATCCTATTCTCACTCTTAGGTTGACCCGAAGCTCTCATTTAGGAGACAACTTTCCTTTATGATTGATTATTATGCGATGAAAACAAGTTAGTGGGGCAGTTCATTACAAGGGATTGGTATTGTTTTTTTTGGGGAGAACTACCATAAAAAATGCAAATCACTCCTTATATAGGAGACTCTGTCCGGTCATCACCATATGGGGCGGTTCCCGGTGTAATTTTTTGATGATTTCTTTTAGCATTTTATTCATTAAGTCTAGCTTACTCATACCAAATTTCAGCTAAAAATTCAACCGGGAAAGCATTCAAATGGACTTTTGAAGATAACTACGCAATTAAACAGCGCAGTATATTTCAGAAAATCATTTGACTGTCTTCCCGAATGAATTTTTAGCTAAAATTTGGTATGACTAAACTAGACTTAATGAATAAAATGCTCAAAAAAATTCATCCAAATGTTCCACCGGGAACTAGGCATGGACTCAACCGGGTTCGGGTCGGGCCTAGGCCCGGCCGGGCCAAAAAAAAATTCAGTGACCCTGGACCGACCTGGAAGTTGACCGGTGCCGGTCCGGGCCTGGTCGGGTCCGGTTCTATTGTTTTTTTTTGTTTTCTTGATTATTTTATCTCCTACCCCCACCCCCATCCCACAAACCCATCTGAAACACCTATTCCAGCCCATTTAAACCCAGCCCAAAGCCCCAAACAAAAAAAAAAAATTGAAAAGGCCCGAGCCAGGCCCGGGACCGGCCAGGCCGGTTCTCATTTACCTCAGCCCGTACCCGCCCCGCTTACCCCCTACAAACCGGGCCTAGACCCGGTACTGGTACATGGTTCCTAGGCCGGGCCCAAACAGTACCGGGTCGGGTGGCCCGAACCGAGTCCAAGCATACCGAGAACCGCCCCAAATGACGACGGCCGGACAGAGCTTTCTATATAATGGGTGATTTGCACTTTTTATGTAAGTTTGAGGGCTTATTTGGTAGTTCTCCCTTTTTTTTCTTTCACATTATGGTATCAAGAGTATCGAGTCAACATCAATTGGAATCTATCAAAAGTAATGATATACCGTCAAGTCGTCAACTAACAAATAATGCCTTGAATATAGACCTGCACAAAACCGGGCCGGCCCGCCCAGCCCGCCCATAGAAATGGGCGGGTTTGGACACACAGTTTAGCCCACCGGCCCGGCCCGGCCCGGGCCCAGGCCCGTTTAAATTATGGGCGGGCTTGGATTCTAATATAGGCCCGGCGAGCCTAAAAGCCCGGCCCGTTAAATGTGTGTGTGTGTGTGTGTGTGTGTGTGTGTGTGTGTGTATATTATAATTATATATATAAATTATATTTTATATATATACACAAAAAATTACTATCATTAAGGAAGGCCAACAAAACCTTAGCCAAGCTACTGCTATTAGATTGGACCAATAAAGTAGTACTACGTGTTAGTTAAAACTTGAACTGTTTTGTACTAGACACCTATCAAGTCTTTTGAGATACTTTTATGCTTTGACTATTCTCATTGCACATTATGATTATACTTTTAATTATTGTTTGCACATTGTGATTAAATTTTTAAATACTGATGTTAGTTCTAAATTTGAATGGTTTTTATTTTTCAGAATTGTGTGTGTATTTCGTAAAAGTATTTTACAAACGTTTACGATTTTTAAAAAAAAAATAGAAAGAGGATAATTTTTCCGGGCCCGAAAGCCCGGTGGGCAGCACGGCCCGCTCTTTTGGGCGGGCTTGGACATATGAGGAGGCCCGTTGTACCGGGCCGGTCCCGCCCACTACAAATGGGCAGATTTTTTAGAATAAGCCCGGGCCGAGGCCGGTCCGAACCCGCGTTTGTGCAGGTCTACTTGAATTACTTAGGCAATGGCATACACAAGGGAGAAGTGAGCCTTCCCGCCCCAAATTCTCCATATAGATGTAATTACTCCTAAATTTTAATACTCTCTTTGTGTGTGTAGGCCGTAGGGGATGGTTCAAATACAAAGAGCTCTTCTCATGCAAAGTGAGAATGAGTCTTGTGCATTCATTTTCACATCTAATGGCTCAAAATGAGCTAAAATGCACAAAATTCGGCCAAAAATGCGGTGACACTTTCGTAAATATGTTGCACTTTTTTGCCATTACAAAAAAGTGCAAGCGAAATATGAAAATGTGCATATCTTCAGGTCTTCACACTTTGCACGGGAAGGGGTCTTTTTATATATAGGGAAAAGGATCACGTGAGAAGTGGGTCTTAGGCCGAAAAGATTGAAGTTTAACTAATAGAGAATTAGAGACAATAAGGTAACTTATAAAACAGAATCATAACTTATAAACCCAACAACTCTAAATCAAAAGCATAATTCTATAGTGATAAATTGAGGATGTATGAGATTACAATGAAAAACAATAGTAGTAGTTGAAAAATATTTACAAAAAAAATACTATCGTATTTATGAAAAAGTTATTTATTTATTTATCAAGACATATATGTCCTACTAAACTATTAATGCGATAAACATAACTTGTAAAGCCAAAAGTGTAACTTTTACAACTTTTTAAATTGTTTCGCAGTTTTCAGACTAAGAACACTTGCTCATGTAATATATTATCCCCGTCTTCATATAAAAAATTATATTGGCATCATGTTTATATGATCTCCTTAAGTGGCACACGCGGGAACCACTATCTGACCAAGGCCATTTTGGATCTTTCCCATGAAATTTTATTAGCATATTCCTCATCAAGTGTAGATTATCTCCACAAAATTTGAGTTCAAAAAGAAAGAATGGTGAGATTCCATTCTTATTTATTATTATTTCTCTACTGAGACATCGTTCTCATTAGAACTATCCCACATATATATAATAACTAGAATGACTGGTCAAATAGGCTTTGCTGATCTCTTCCATACAATCACAGTGCCACCAAAATCAGAGGAAGCTAGCAAGTTGTCCCCGTGGTTCCATGCTATGCCTATAGTTGGATATCCATGACCCTGCACGCCATAATTGCTTAGCAACTACTCCCTTCTCAAATAGATATCGTTTATTTTAGGGTCTCTACCAACTACTACACGTTAAGAATCTAATTAATTCTCCAGAAAATAAAATCGAGCACAAACTAGTATTCCCAAGAGTTAATGACTCAAATAGGACTAATAGCAAACTTAATTGCACATTTAGGACCATAAATGAAACACAAGTTTTATAGGATCAATTTCAATACAGTTGGGCAAAAATACCCCTCTTTCAATTTTTAAAATTTTAAAAATATAAATGAAAAAATTATTGAAACCCTAGAGTAGCACTACGGCCATCGGAGCCAAACCGCCTGCCGTCGCCCGATGCCGGCGCAGCCTACTGCCGCCCTTGCCGGCTACGGCACCACCTGTCGCCGCCTGCCGCCGCATCCTTTTCGGCGCTTGTCTTCATCCATCGCCGCCCCCTGCCGCCTCAACTTCCCATCCATCGGCGTCGCCATCCACCGCCTCCACCACCTCTTACCGGCGTCGCCATCAATGTCATCACAATCTGATCGGAGTCGCCATCCACCGCCGCCACTATCCTCTAAGCACAGTCACCATCTTGATAACTCACGCAGAATAAATTTGCCATTAAGTTGGCAGATTATTGTTGGAGACTAGATTCACATATGCCATAAACAAGGGTTTCAGATCTCCCAAAGAGTTGGCAGATTCAGTTTGGAATATTAACACAAAACTGCCACAAATTTGGCAAAAATTAAAAAACATGAAATAAATAACCAAATATTCAAACAACTAATTTTTTTAATGGAATAAGCATTTTAACAGAATCGGCAATTAGAAAAACGAAGCTATTGACAAAAAAATCAAAAAAGCAATTTATACAAAAGCATTTTTGCCATAATATGATTGTCAATGTAACATTTCAGCCATAAATTCGGCCAAATCTGAAGCAATCATCCAAAATTTCCGAAAATCGATTTTTTTAAAAACTCATGTATCAGAAACCAGAAAATTGAAAAAGAAGTCCGAAAATTAGAAAAATCAATTCAAAATCCAAAAAAACATAGCAAAACCGGAAATTAAGAAGAAGGATGGAGGAGGAGAACCTTAGTGGCAGCAGCACATGGTGAAATCGACAGCAACAGTGGCGTGAGATGGCGAGGTCAGCGGCGGCGTGAGATGGCGAAGTCGGCGGCGATGGTTAGGGCGAAGTTGATTCATGACGCGCAAAGAAGAAAGAGAGAAATGTGCGCAGGAGAGAAGGTGGGAGGAGGGTTGAATTGTGCACAGGGGAGAGGTGTGGTGCGTAAAAAAGGGAGAAAGGTAAAAATGGAATGGAAAATACGTAAGTTTTAGAACAGGAGTAAATTAGTCCTATTTGAAAAAAAAAACATATATGATCCTATTTAAGAATTTCTCCTCTCTTTTAGTCCTATATGGGACAATTACTATATTCCCAACCAGAAGTTTCAAGTTTCAACTGACATATAGTTACCAGCTTGTTTTCCCAGTCATTTTTAAAACAGGTGGGTTTTAACATTGCTGTTCAAAAATAATTACTACTTCCTTTAGTTTCTGAAACAACACGTGTTTTGGATGCCCCCAACAATACCTATTAGAGAGCAGCATATCCAAGGGTAGAAGTTGAGAGCTGATTCTCTCCCTCTTTCGAGGCTCTTCTACGTACTTTCCCAAAATCACTCGATTTTCCATTTCATTCTCATCGTCAAGCTTGGATATTGGTTGGGATTCATCCTAAAATTCATTGGGGTGTAATTCTTGCAATTTTCGAGCTCACTTTTGAGCTTTTTGGACTGGTTTTACTCAACATCTCACGCGGAATTACTGTTCACGTGAGAAGGTCAACGCCTGTTTCTCTCGTTTCTCTAGCTCAATCTTCGATTGGAAAGTGTTTTTTGGCTCCCCTGGGTGTGACAATTAAGCAAATTAACTTGGTTTGATCATCAAGCAAAGTTGATTTTCTGGCCCTGGCTATTTTCTGGAAATCGCAGCTTGAAGAACGATGAAGAAACACTGCTCATAGCCGACCTCTTGCTTCGGTTTCAAGAAAGCTGCGAATTATGGTGAGGAAGAAGACCGTGGAGCCACCAACTGGGCGTGCTACTAGGTCCAAGAACTCCCTCCTTGCTAACATAGATGAAGAATTCCCAGTTCTTAAGCTACCTGGGGCGGTTTCCATTGAGGCAGGACATTCGACTTGTGCAGGGGAGTACGCTAGCCTGGAAAAAAAACAAATGCTGCAGGGGCTAATGCTACTAATGTCACTCCTGCTACTGAAGTACAGGTTGTTACTAAAGCTGGGACAGCAGCTACTCAGGCAGCAAAAACGATTGAAGGAGGAGCTGGCCAGACTTATATGCTGGCAGAAAAAAATAAAGGGGTTCAACCTGCTGCTTGGAACTCCCTGTTTAGAGACAACCGTGATCCAAAAAATGGGATTAAGTTAAATTATGTTCCACCGAAAGACGAAACATTGGACTTTGGTGATCGAGTACTACCCTCGATGGTTGAAATGTGGGGCTACTGCCTAGTGGGACACTTTACCGGTAAATTCCCCGGACTCAAAGCGGTCCACGATTTGAAAGCTAAATGGGAGGTAAAGTGCCTTGTAAGGTCACATAATAAGGGCTGGATAATTTTTAAGTTTCAAAATGAAGAGGATAGATCGAAGGTACTACTCGAGGGACCTTACACCGTATTTGGGAAACTCCTAATGCTCAAAGAACTCTCGGAGGATTTCACCTTTGAGGATGAGGAATTTCTAAAAATTCCAATTTGGATCAAATTCCCTAAACTACCAATGAGTTTATGGAATGATGAGGCTATGAGTGAGGTGGCATCTATGGTTGGGGTCCCAATTACCACGGACAAGATCACTCAAGAGAGGGCAAACAATGATTATGCTAGAGTGTTAATAGAGGTTGATGTCTCAAAGCCACCACCACTTCATTTTCCTATACGACTACCTTCCCGAAAGGTAATCAAACAATTTGTGGTTTATGAAACTTTTCCTAATTTTCGCTTTCATTGCAAAGAATTTGGGCACCACCCATTTATTTGTAAAAAACTAACCAAGCAAGATGATGGAGGAAGAGATTAAGTACCAAACATGGTGGATAAGGAGAAAATAGACTCTGGTCCGACCGGGTCTGATGCCCAAACTATTGCTGCTGTCCAGCCCGAAGCTGAACTTGCTGTCCAGGACATGGTTGCTGCTGACCACCCGACCGGGCCTCATGCACAGACCTCGGTAAAGCAAGGTGATCAGGTAGCTGCAGTGACAATTCCAGCAGCCCAGGGACTTTCTAAAGCTACGGACAATGACCTTGACGTCGCAGGGGAGGATATTGAAAGGGTTGTGATGAAAGAACAAAATTTGAAGGTAAATGATGTGGTTATCAAATGTGAAGTAATAAACGGTAAGACACTCAAGTTGGTTGTCAAACCGTTTAGATTTGTGTGTGCGAGTGTGATTAGAGTGGATACTTCTCTTCGATTTACAGATGATTTGGATAAGAAGGGACTTACCTTCACTGCCAAATGTCTCGAGGGGATGCCGGGAGTTGCTAAAAAGAGAGGGGAAGTTTGCTTTGACTCAAAGTTTACTACTCCTTTCCGAGCTTTCTTTGGAGGTTAAATTAGGGATACCTAATATTTTGTTGAGATAGTTTGATTTTGTTTTGAACCTTTTTTGTGAAATGGGGATTGTCCCATTATTTTGATGCATTACATCTAGGTTAGTTTATTCTAGCTTAGATAGTCATTTTGATTTGGATTTGATGCATTGTAAAATGCTATTTTTTTTCGGTTTATAATATACTTACATGTTATCGAAAAAAATAGAGAGCAGCAGAGCGATTACTGTACACCTGGGTGAGAGTGTTCAATGAAATGAAGTATTTATACATACCTGCAGCTTGTTAACACATGTACCCTTTGATCGAGTTATATCGTAGAAGTACACATTTGCATCCTCACTTCCAGCAACTTGTGTGGTAATAATAGAAGACAGGAACATTAAGTGCAAGATATATCTATATCCATCAATGACACGTTTCTATAGGAAAATGGTTCCCAAAATAACAAATTGTGTCAAGGAAAGCAAGCCACATACCAATGTATTCTCCCTTTTCAAGGGACAATAAAGGACACAAAGCAGCACGGATACTATACAACCGCGGGGCCAATTTTAGCGAACAACGAAGGGTCAAATAACCTTTTACCTCCAAAGATACACTGCAAAGCAGAATAATGTGAATTGAATAGGTATTATATGGTAATGTTTACACTGCCTGTTTTCACATTTTCTATGAAAATCGAGACAAGAAAACATGTTTGTCATTAGTTTTTATTACTAGCTATGTATTTTCTGGAAGAAAAAATTGGCAAACCACACATTTAATCACATATTTGGTTGACATTATGCAATGTGTAAACTAAGCCTCAATTGTTAGGACGAGACACAGTTAGTCATACGGTCATACCTATTAAATTAACTTTTAGCATGAAAGTTAACAAAGGCATTCTCGACATCGTTGAGAATGCCTCCCTCAAAACCTAATCCTTGTGGAGATTTTCACAGAAAGGACTAATCATATTTACGAAAGTTGTAGCAAATGTCACCCATATTACATAAAGCCAAACCATTGGAGATCTAGCCATCTAGGAGTGTGATTTTCCCTTTTAATATTTATTGAAAACAAGAAATTACGAGCTGTCGTTGCTTTAGAAAACATTTAGAATTTTTATAAGAATAAAATGCATCCATCACATATAGTACTCCAAATATAATACGGAGTATATACAATCAGGCTTATCAAACATGTTTTACATTTCAGATGTTTACAAAAACAAAAAAACAAAACAGTCCTTCAGGGACATCCAATAAAATTGGAACGACAAAAACTAAAAAACAAAATATTTGAAAACATAAAACATGCAGCATTACCAAGTTAACCTTACTAGTTGATACGTTTGTAATTTCCGTGTGTTTATTTACGTTTTTAGTTAGTTTTGGTTGTTTAATATTTCGGAAATTACACACTTTCGGTGTAATAGTTTAGTTTGTTAAATTCTTGTAATTTGTTTAGATTAGGTTTATTCTGAGCTTAAACAGGTCCAAAATCAATCAAATGATCAAAGGTGAAGGAAGGTGCAAGAGTAGAAGACAAAAAAGGAAAAACTCCTGATTTTGGGGTATACTCGGTCGAGTATACCTTATACTCGATCGAGTACCAATACTGATTTTCAAGGATCCGATCCGGGAACAAATGAACATGCAAGGAAAGATTTGGCCACGTTCTATTGTCATACCCGATCGAGTACACCGACATACTCGATCGGGTATACATATAAAATCTACTCGAGTATTAATCGAGTATTGACCAAATTCATGTTTCTACACATACTCGATCGAGTATATGTACATACTCGATCGAGTACTCGGCCTGCACTTCAAAAAGCCTATAAATACACCTCCTTTCCTTCACTTTAAAGACACCAATTCACATATACTTCTTAGCTCAGTTTAAACAAGTTCTTTCTTTATATTTTTCATCATGTTTAGTCTCCAAATGAGGAGCTAAACTCTTCCATCTTGGTTTTGCTACTTTGAAACTTAATGAATTTGTAAGTTGTGAGTTATTCTCTTTAATCTTCTTCCTTGAATATTAATTCTTCCTTTAAATACTATTTCTATATCAATGTTGGGGAGTGTTACTAAGATGACAATTAGTTAACATCTTGACATTAGTTATAGTAATAGCTATTTCTTCCTCTATGTTAATATTGTAGGATTCATCTTCTTTAGTATTCTCTCTTGAGTATTAATTAATTCCTATTCATATTTCATATTAATATTTTGAACATTACTTAAAGGATCAACTAGTTTTGTTTCATATATTAATTAATATTAGAATCGGTCGATTAATACGCTTGTTATTAATTCGGTCCTTTCATGGTAGTAAACTTGGATTATTAATGCATGCATCTCATGGTTAATAATCTAAGTGGAATTAATTATATTGATTAAACCAATAAACCGCTTGTGTTGAGGTTATCAATCTCAATCGTTTTCATCTTAAGTTTATTGCTACTATCAGGTTAATATACGGCGCTTGTTCTATATTGACCCAATAGTAAGTTTTATTAATGAACGCTTCTCGTTATTAATAACTACCCTCGATGAACTGGATATACTCCTCGATTGAGTATTCGAGAGGAAGATAGTTAAAGATATAACCGGGATCGACGAACATTTCATTAAGTGGATAAAAGCAAAGCCAAGTCTCCTTCCTATTAAACCACATAACTCGTTCATCTTCGTGTTTTATTAAACCAAATCAAACTAAAAACCCTCATTTTGTTACTAGTTTTATAAAAAGAAAAGTATTCCTTTCCCTGTGGATACGAACCTTACTTCATTATACTACGTATAATTATTGTATTGTATTATTATTTTGAGTGCACACCGCGACTAAGTGCACGTCAAATTTGGCGCCGTTGCCGGGGAAAGGCAATTATTTTTCTTTTTATTTTATTTCAAGAAAAATCAAAAAAAAAAAATTAACTAAAAATATAAAGAGTTCTTATTTTCTATTTCTGAGCTTTGTTTGAGTATATGGTTAGACACCGATCTATAAACCAAATCACCTACCAAACAAATCCCGAAATAGAACAAGCCTTCGAGAGGTTGAGAAATTTATTTCCGCACACACCCTCGGAGGAATCCTCAAACGCTAGCTCTAGCGAATCCGAAGAGTCATTCCACATGGCTCTCGAGACAAGGACCCTAAGGGAGCTCACAGCTCCAAACTTGAATCAACAACCATTATGTGTTACCTTTCCTACTCTTGATGAAGAAGGTAATACATTTGAGCTGAAATCTGGGCTCATACATTTATTGTCATCTTTCCATGGCATGAGAGGAGAAGACCCGAATAAACATCTTTCGGAGTTCCACATCGTTTGCACAAGCATGTGCCCAAACGGTGTCACAGAAGAGCAAATAAAACTGAGAGCCTTCCCATTCTCCTTGAAAGATACCGCGAAGGATTGGCTTTTCTATCTTCCTTCGGGAAGCATAATCAACACATGGGCACAAATGAAGAAGTGCTTCCTCGATAGGTATTATCCTGCTTCCATCTCATCTTCTCTCAAAAAGCAAATAAGCAACATCGAGCAAAAGGATGATGAATCCTTATATGAATTTTGGGAAAGATTTAAGAAGCTATGTGCTAGCTGTCCCTATCATGGCTACTCAGAACAAGACCTCATCTTATACTTTTATGATGGTCTTGTTGATGATGATAGAAGAATGGTGAACGCCGCTTGTGGAGGCGGCATTGTTAATAAAACTCCTTCACAAGCTATAAATCTTATCTCAGAATTGGCCGAGAACTCACGGCTATTCGGTCGCAGATCCTCAACTCGTAGAGTTGCCGCGGCAGAATCGACATCATCACTGGAGAGTCAAGTTGCCGGCTTGACTTCCTTGGTTAAGGATTTCCTCTTAAAATCCAAGACCCAAGAAGTCAAGGTCTGCGGCATTTGTACGCAACAAGGGCATCCCACTGACTCATGCCCGACTCTTCAAGAAAACGATACAGAGCAAGTCAATGCCTTGGGTTTCCAAGGCCACCAACAAAGGAGGTACGACCCATTCTCAAACTCTTACAACCCTGGATTAAGAGATCATCCAAACTTGAGGTATGGAAACTCCCAACAATCCAAACCATCTTCTCAACCATCTTTTGACAATCAAGGTTCAAACTCTCAATCTAATATGTCAACGGATGAAATGATACGAGCTTTGACTTCAAACATGGTTACCATGCAACAAAGCATGGGTCAATTTCAACAAACCATGATACAATTCCAACATGAAACGAAGTCAAGCATTAAAAATTTGGAAACCCAAGTTAGCCAAATTTCAAATGCCGTAAGCCGTCTTGAAGCAAAGGACTCGGGTAAACTCCCATCTCAAACGGAGCAAAACCCGAGACAACATGTGAATGCAATCATGTTGAAGGGGGTAGAAAAAAATGACCAAGAGATCAAGGAGGTTGATCATGAAGAAGAAGATCAATCTGAGGAGAGAACCACAAAAGCGAAACTTCCACCATATGCTTCGTATGAACCAGTAGCCCCATTTCCCGAGGCACTGATGGAGACAAGGAAGCTGGAGAAAGATACTGACATCTATGAGACATTCGCCAAGTGTGAGGTAAACATTCCGCTCCTTAACTCAATTAAAAATGTTCCCCGTTTTGCTAAATTTTTAAAAGAATTATGCAAAACAAAACGAAAGGATAAGTCAAAAGAAAAGCAAGAGGTCAAGGTTAGTGAACATGTATCGGCTCTATTTCAAAAGAAACTTCCCGAAAAATGTAGCGACCCGGGCATGTTCACCATACCTTGCAAGATAGGGGACACCGCATTTTCTAAGGCCTTGTTGGATTTAGGGGCATCTATAAATGTCATTCCTTACTCTGTTTATAAATCCCTACAACTCGGCCCACTACATCAAACAGGTGTAGTGATTCAACTAGCGGATCATTCTAATACTTACCCGAAGGGTGTAATAGAAGATGTGCTAGTAGAAGTAGAAAATATGGTTTTTCCTGTTGACTTCTATGTCCTTGAAATGGGAAATGATGACCAAACAACACCCATCCTTTTGGGTAGGCCCTTCTTAAAAACCGCAAAAACAAAAATTGACGTGTCTAGTGGTTCATTAACTTTAGAGTTCGATGACCAAAAAGTAGAGTTCAACATCTTTGACTCTACGAAAAAACAAATTAAAGTCCAATCTCTTTGTTCTTTAACTGTTTGTGGACCACAAGAACCAAAGTCTTTGAAGGAATCTACTAGAATCCCAATTTTTCAAAAAATTGAGAATAGGGGATCATCTGCGGTTGAGGAGGCAATGAAAACAAAAATTCGACCTTACTGGAAAAGGTCGAAAAACAAAATGAGTACAAGGCCAAACAAGATTGTTCACGATCCCACATAAAATAAAAATAAAAATAAATAAAACGTCGTGCCACGACGTTAAATAAGGCGCTTCTTGGGAGGCAACCCAAGTCAGGTAGTTAGAGTTTATTTCCTTTTCGTGTGAATTTGAGAGAAAAGAGAAAGAGGGAACTAATCACATTTATTTTTTGAGAAGAAGAAAATGCAGGTTTTGAAGTATCTGGGGACACACTCGATCGAGTACCATCTCATACTCGGTCGGG